CCAACCTATACATTTGAGACAGGGTCTTGCTGAGCAGCCCTAGCTGTCCAGGAACTGACTGTGTAGACTAGGCTGGTCTCAAATTCAGACATGTGCTGCCTCTTGAATGCTGAGATGCCCTCTCCTGGCCTTCACAAGCACCTGTATGCTCATGCACACACTCACCCACATCTTTCAAAAACAGTAATAGCCAGGTGATGATGGCACACTCCTTTGATCCCAGGACTCAGGAGGCAGAGGCAGGAAGATTTTTATGAGTTTGAGGCTAGCCTGGCATATAGAACAAGATCCAAGACAGCCAAGGCTACACAGAGAAATGTGTCTCAAAAAAACAAAAAACAAAAACCAAAGTAATAGCACTAATCTAGGCTCTTAGAGCTGGAGCAGTGGTTAAGAGCACTTGCTGATTTTGCAGAGGATCTGGGTTTGGTTCCTAGTGCCCACATGATGGCTCACAACCACCTGTAGTTCCAGTTCCAGGGAAGTCTGTGCCTCAGCAGGTCCCAGAAATGAATTCAGTACAATACTCAAATTTAGACAAAACATGCATGCATATAAAATAAAAATAAATCTTTTAAAAACAAAACAACCAACCTTCATTTTCTGTGAGGCAGTTAAGTCTTATGTGGACAACAACACACCCTCAAATAAATGAATACATTAAATCAAGAAAGTTCTTTAAAGTGGGGTTGGACCAGGCAGTGGTGGCACGCGCTTTTAATCCCAGCAGAGGCAAGCAGATCTCTGTGAGTTCGAGACCAGCCTGGTCTACAAGAGCTAGCTCCAGGACAGCCTCCAAAGCCACAGAGAAACCCTGTCTCGAAAAACCAACCAACCAACCAACCAACAAACAAATAAATAAATAAAGTGGGGTTGGTAGCTCATGCTCATAACCCCCAAATTGGGGGTCATACTTTGCTATAACTGCCAAAGCTTAAGGCAAGAAGAGTGCCTTGTGTTGGGGGCCAGACCGGGCTACAGTATAAGCACCAATCTAAAAGCAAAACCAAAAATAATTCATTTTCACAAGTTCTTTACATATAAAATCTGTTGTCTACACACGGTTGTTGAGTTAGAGGCCAGCTTTCTCAGACAATTTGCATGTATTGTAATCATTATATATCTGGAAGTATCCCATTTTCTCAACAGAATTGCTGACATGGGCTCTAAGTTTTCCTTCCCAGCCATGCAACACGCATGTAGCCAAGCAAGCATCATTTAATCAGCAAGTTCAGCACTGAACTTCATGTTGGAAGCTCACCTTTCAAGTTCATCCCAAGGAAGGCCAATAAGTAGAATGAGATTGCTGAGCCATGCTGCTAACTTGACAACTCTTTTGATACTAGAAGCAAGAGACTACTTGTAGGAAGACATACAGTAGCTTCGTATCACTAGTTCAGACAAGGAATTGTGCAGGGATGGGTATATTTAGCTCAGCTGACAGTGGTCACCTATCGTAAGGTCCTGGATTCAATCCCCACTACCACACAAAAAGAAAGAGTAGATAAAACTCCTTCAAGGATCTCTTTCATTAGTTTAAGTTGGCCTGAACTCACTCAGATTGTCCTTGAACTGTCATTACTTTTGCCTGATATAATTTCAGCCTTGTGAGAACCACCACAACCAGCCAGCTTGATTTGTAAAATAAAAATCAGTTACCTGATTATCTGTAAGCTGTTTTTAAAATAAAAATTAGACAACAAACCTCATAAACTCGAAGATTTCCTGTACAGTGTTTTTTGTAAGTATTCATTTAATAGATGAATGCTTGATGAATGTATTTTTCTTTTCTTTCTTTCTTTTTTTTTTTTGATTTTTTTTTCTAGACAGGGTTTCTCTGTGTAGCTTTGTAGACCAGGCTAACCTCTAACTTACATAGATCCACCAATCTCTGCCACCACACTGCCTGGCTAATGAATGTATTTTTTAACTACTGTAAAAGTAATACTTCTAAAACTACTTTTTCTAAGTTGTGTCTTTATTAGTCTTTGTTTTTTTGTTTTCTTGTTTTTTTCAAGACAGGTTTCTCTGCATAGCCCTGGCTGTCAAATGGTAAAAAATAAAAATATTTTTATTTGTGTGTGTAAATATGCATATGTGCATACAGGTACCCTCAAAGGCACACTTATATTGATTGTCCTGCCTCTGCCTCCCAAGTATTGATGTTACAGGCATGTGCCTTGCATATATGACTAGACCATAACCATCGGTCACATGTAAGGTGTTTAAAAACATTGATTAGCTGGGCAGTGGTGGTGCACACCTTTAATTCCGGCATTTGGGAGGTGGAGCCAGGAGGCCAGCCTGGTCTACAGAGTGAGTTCTAGCACAGCTAGGGCTACACAGAGAAACTCTGCCTTGGAAAAGAAAGGAGGGAAGGAAGGGAAGAAGAAAGGAGAGAGGGAGGGAGGGAGAGGGAGGACTTTAAAAAATTAAATTAGAGGCTGGGGAGACTGTTGAGCATTTGAGAGTACCTCTTGCTCTTGCAGAGGGCTTGGAACCAGTTCCTAGCACACCCACAGGCTCACAACCATTCAAAACTTCAGTTGCAGGGATTCAGTGGTTTCTTCTGATCTCCACATGGTGCAGGCAAAACACTTATACACATAAAAATAAATACATCTAAAAGGTTTTAAATTAAAAGTAATAAAAATTTAAAAGTGAACACATACACACACACACACAAAAGTAAAAACCAAAGTTACTCAACAGTTTGTTGATGGCAGAGAGGGTTAAAAATGAAACAGGGTCTCATGTAGTCCTGGCTGTCCTGGAGCTCACTATGTGGACCAGGATGGATCCATTTGCTTCTGCCTTCAGACTGCTGGGATTAAAGGCATACTCTACCTGCCTAGTTTATGTTATACTCTTAGTGTTCTTCGCATTCTCTTGCTCCTGACCCCCTGATGTATGTTCCCTCTATGTTGACATTTTCAACTTGACAAGCACACTGGATTGTAGAATATTGGGTAATTGTTAATGGTTAGACTGAGGTTGATATATACTTCCTGAAGAGCCCAGTTATTCCTAAATAGATTGATTATGTAGCCTGACTCTTTAAGAGATGATTCGCTGACTTGAAATGAAACACCAACTAAATAAGAAAAAGAGGGGAAGGAGGGAGGGAGGGAGGGAGCTGGGATATAGTTCAGTTAGCAATAGGGTGCTTTACCAGCATGCATGGAGCCCTGGGAGGAGGGGTGGCACATGTCTGTAACCCACCAATCACAGGACTCTGTGACAGACTGTCAGAAGTTCAAGATCATCCTTGGCTATGTTGCAGAATTAGAGTCTAGTCTCAGCTACACGAAACCTTTCCTCCTGATGGGACGTGGCAGGCAGACAACAAACACAGTGGCTGACTCTAACTACGTGGGAAGCTGAGGCAACAGTGAAGCGCAAGTCCTGCCTGGACAACTGTGTAAACCCCAGTCTCAAAATAAAACGCAGGCTGGAAAGATGGGCGAGCCCTGAAAGGCTAAGGCTCACAGTCAAAACAGAAAGCAGAGAGGGTGGAGGCTTTGTTCAGCAGTAAAGTACAGTCAGCCTCCAGGAAGCCCTTTAATCCCAGCAGAGGCAGAGGCAGGTGGATCTCTGAGTTCGAGGCCAGCCTGGTCTACAGAGCCAGTTCCAGGACAGGCTCCAAAACTACAGAGAAATCCTGCCTGGAAAAACCAAACAAAAAAACCAAAAGAAACAAAAACATACACACATAAAAAACTAAGCTGGGAATAATGGCACAAGCCTCGAATCCCAGAATTTAGGAGGCTGAGGCAGACCTGAGTGACACAGAAAGATCCTCTCTCAAATATACAAAATCCAAAGCCAGCAGATATCAGTTTGTTCACATTCTGTTTGAATTTTGCTAGCATACAACATCCCAAAAGCTAGCCTTTGCGGGGGGGAGGGTGGTAGGTCATGAGTTCAAGGCCAGCCTGAGGTACATAGTTTGGATACTCTCTTAAACAGATGTAACACTGGGAAGACTACATATCACTAAAATCAGTGTCTTGGTAGATGTCTTTGGTAGTGTCTTCTAGGTTCTGGAAACTGGGATACTTTTATGATGGCTAAAGGCCTTCTCACCTTTGAGTCTTAATGAAAACAAAAGTATCCCTGACAACTGTTCTCTTCAGCAACCATCAGTCAGTTCCACAGTCTCTCAGCACCCTTCTCCCCTCAGAATCTCACTAGAGGCTGAGACAGCTTCCTGGCTTGCAGAGTCAGTATTTTAGAACCTGACTGAACTGTGTGCTTTGAAGAGATATTGATGGGGACGGGGGCTTAGTTTGGTAGAGTACTTGCCTAGCAAGTCTGAAACCTTGGGTTCATTCCCCCAGCACTAAAGAAACGTGGCCTGCAAGCTCAGCACTTAGGCTCAGAAGGTAGATTGAGTGCAGCAAGCTTGAGCCCAGTCTGGGTTATGTGAGACTCAGTCTTATTTACACTAAAAATTTTTTCATGTGGTATATATATATGTACATCAAGTACATCACATGAACACAGGTACCCACAGAAGCCACAAGAAAGAACTAGATTCTTTGGAACTGGAGTTCAAGGTGGTTATGCCCGGTGGGGATGCTAGGAACTGAACCTAGGTCTTTGGCAAGAACAGCAAACTTTTCTAACTGCTGAGCCACTTTCCAGGCCCACCTCCCAAACCTCCTTCCTCCTGCCAGTGGTGGTAGTGCACACCTTTAATCCTAGCACTTGGGAGGCAGAAGCAAGAGGCTCTCTTGAGTTTGAGGCCAGCATAGTCTACAGAGCTGGTTCACACAGAGAAACTGTCCCCCAAAACAAACAAGAACTGATACCTGACCCTACCCTATTTTAATTAGCCTCAGGTGAGACCTAGGGAAAAGGTTAGGCCTAGCACGCCTCAGATGAATCCCAGATGGGAATGGTGCTTCAGAAGGACAACGGTAGGTAGGGTGAGGTAGTTATCACATGGGCAGGCTGGTGGTCCATACAGCAGAATATGAAAAACTGTGCACCCCGAATTGGGTGAGTGCTTTTATTTATTCGGTCCTTCAACAAACACCAGGGTTAGGCCAGGAAATCTTGAGGAGGAAGCAGCCAGCAGCTTAGCCTAGATGTGGAAGAGTCCTTCAAGGTCTCTGTCAGATAAAGTAGGGGGTGAGGACACTGCTTGCAGAGAACAATGGAGCTGGTCACAAGTCCTCAGGAGTGTTGGGTGTAGTCCTCCACTGTCCAGTTGGCAGGCTTTGGTTTCAGACTTGAGCCAGAGTGCATCTAAAAGATGTGAAAGCTTTTGTAGGCGTGGTAAGGCAAGCTTATGACACTAGAACCTGGAGATGCAGTGAGTCTAGGGTAGTCTGTCTCAAGAAAACTAAAACTAATAAACCAGTCAATCAAAGAGCAGGAAGGCACATGATATCATTTGAAGTAACTTGGGCTGTTCCTTTACAGAGCTGGAGTTTACTAAATAACTTAATGATCGACTGATCTTTATTAAATAGTTTAATGATTGACTGATGGCCTCTTCCGCCTGTGACTACTGAAATCAGACATTGTAACCATGTGGGCACTTGGCAGATGGAAGGGGGTGCTATAGGCTAATGCTTTCTGAGGGCCTAACTGGAGGTACACAGAATTCATCATGGGCTAGGCCTAGACCACTAAAGTCAGGGCTTCTACCTGCAGCTTCTTCACCCAGTTTTCTCCACTTCAGGGTGACTCTATGTGGCACTTCTTATTTAGCTGTCTGACTTGTCTCAGAGCAAGTAAAAAATGTCCCGAAGATGAAAAACCTTGTGGTTCCCTTAGGCTCCCTCCCTACCTACTCTGTACTTTGTTACCACTCAAGGACACACGGGTCACACCATGAAATCATCCTGGTCCTAATTCTGACCAAGACATTCATGGAATTATTTCTGTTGAGGGGGAAAAATTCAGCCTTGCCTAGCAGTTCTCAAAGATTGAGAATTTCAAGACAAGTCTTGAGCTAACAATGTAGATTTGGGAGCCCATTCCAGAGCTACTGAATCAGAACCTGGATTGGGCCAAGGATGCTATCTGGGAAGCATCCCAGATCATTTGATTCCAGTGATCTGCAGACTGCTCTGAGCAGCACAAACAGCTGTTGGTGGTTTTCTACAGTCAATACACTTCTGGCAGAGGTTGGCTGTTTCAGGGTGCTGGGGGCCAGGTGGATAAGAGCCGTGGTCCATAATCTTGCAGTTCCATGTCCTGCAGAATCTGTACTATGCTTGTTTTCAGTTCTAGCTGTTCCTAGGTTAACTTCTTAATTGAGCTATTCACTCAGCAGAAACTTGAGATACCACAGATAAGAAAGAGCTTTAAGAGTAAGCATTAAGTATCTCTGGCTGCGTCTGTTATTCTCAGTCCCACTTATCTGAAGAGGCAGATTTGTCAAAGGACAAGTATCCCTCCAGGGGAGTATCAGTGGGAAAGCTGTATTCCCTTTCCTTGCCACACCCGCTGGAGAATTTTGTTAGGAACAGAAATTAAAAACTATTATTTCTGTTTTCTGAGTTTGATAGCTCCTGGCACTACAGCAGCACAAATCTAGGCAAACATCGATTTTTCACCCTGTCTCTTCTGCTCTGGGAGTGGCTGTGAGGCTTGAACCCAGAGCTTTAAGCAAGTTCTCTACTGATGGAGAGGCCTAGCCATTACTTTTTTAAGACAGGGTTTCTCTATGTAGTCCTACCTGTCCTAGGACTTGCTCTGTAGATCAGGCTGTCCTCTAACTCACAGAGACCTGCCTGCCTCTGCCTCCCCCCCCACCCATTTCTTTAAATAGCTTATTTGCTGTGATGCTCTGGAGATCCTTGTGCACAGTGAGCCGAAGGTTCTGGGTTCCATCCCAGCACTGAGCCTTAGGGCTTCTTTGGTGGGAATGAAGGCTTCTCCAATGTAGATTTTTACTGGTTTTACTTGCATCTTTTAACATATTTGGTTTGAGTATAGAGTTCTGGAATTTTAAACCTTGTTTTTAAGACATGGCTTATTTTATTGCTTCAGATAAAATGCAGTCAGAGGGTTGGGCTGGTGGTTCACTATCTGTAATTCTATCACTTGGGAGACCGGGTAGGACCGCTGTGAGTTTGAGGCCAACTGATCTATAGAGCAAGACCTTGTCTTGTCTCAAAAAGTAAATAAATGTCACCCCAAGGGACCAAGATGTAACTTAAAAAATAAAGTGCATCTGGGCAGAAAAGCAACAAAGCAAAACAGAAAGACTAAGAACTCCACCAACATCCTTAAATTTACTTTGTAGCTTCTTAGAAAATAAAGTTCTCAGCGGTTCACCATAAAACAATACACACCTTATAAAACCCCTCTTTGAAATAATCTAAATGAACTAGACTGAGTTATGAACTAATGTCTTGTAAAAATTCTCCTTCAGCAAATTATTGAAGATCTTCAATGAAACAGACAGGAAGTGATTTACTAAACCCAACCTAGGGTTTGCTTTATCAGTGATGTAACTCAAAAACAACCAAGCCAATCAGTGGTTGAGACTACCTTGTGTTTGTTTCCCTGGGCTGAGCCTGAGAGTGCCCAGATTTAATCTCAAGAGGTTTGTGTTTTTAAAACTAACAGCCAAGTAATAAAACACCTATAAAAGAGGTTTATAATGGGACTGGTGACAGTTCTGAGTGTAGTGTTACAACTCTCCTGCTCCCCCTCTCCCTTTTAAAAAATCTTGTATTCAACTCTGCGCCCTTTGTCTGGGCTTCTTTCTCACCTTGCTGAGGGCAGCACACTAGCAGGGAAGCTCACCCACCAGATTAGCCTTTGTGCATTAAGGCCTGCCTGTGACAGGGCTGCAGCCGCCTGCCCTGTCTGAGAGAAGAATCGAGATAAAGCTGTTCTAACAAAGTGCCTACATAGTTGCTCATTAGTAGTTTCTAATGAGTTGAAGACACTGCTGCTGTGTTGTCAGTGCATGAAGATGTGAGTCAGTTAGGGCAGAGAAACTGGGATTCCTACTCCTTGACATCCCACATCTCCTCACCGGGCCCCCAAGAACATCCCGACTCAAGGACAGAACTTCAGGCAACAGGTGGTTTTTCCACCCAGGCCACCATGCGGGAAACTTGGCTTTCTGAGGGCCATAGGTTTCTCTTTTCCCTAGTGGCCTGGGAAGGGGAACAGCGTTCAAATTCTGTAGAACCCTTTTCTCAAGCCTACCACCTTGCCAGCATCCCACCAAACTCTGGGAAGAGTCAGGGATGTCTTTTTCAGAGTCCGGAGGGCGCTGCAAGGCATGTGGGCAGTTTTAGAGTAGCCTTGCCTGGGCGGCCAGAGGATTCCCCCATCCTCCCTCGTATGGGCCTCAGGAACTCCGGGGGCCCAGGGGAAGCCTGGAAAACCGAAGTTCGCCATCAGCCTTCCTTGCAGCGCAGGGCAGAGACGGGGGTGGGGTGGGGGGCAGCGGTCTCCCCCCGCCCAGCCCCCTGCCATCCAGCTGCACAGTCCAGGAAGCACCCAGAAAGCAGCTCCGAGCTCGCCAGCCCCTCGCAGGCCGGGAGAGGGCATCCTGAGGGGCAGCTTCCCTCTCCAGCCGGAGTCTGACATCCCCACTCCCACCCGAGGATGCCTGTCCGCAGTCGCTGAATGTCACTGCTCCCTCTTCCTCCCTATCAGGGTAGTCACAGCTACTGAGGCATCCCCCACCCCAAAACTGCCGCGGTCGCCCGAGGGTACGAAGCTCGGGAGAAGGACGAAGTTTGGGGCCCACGGCGGCGGGAGGGGGGCGCGTTTGAGAAGACCGCACCTCAGTCCCAGACCTGGTGGACACACTCCCCGCCCCAAAACGGCCCAGGCGTCCCCATCCTCTCGAGGACACCGGCATCCCCGCCCTCCCCCGAGGGCGGTGAGCGGAGCCCCCCGGGGCGGAGGCAGGTACCCCCGGGGCGGAGACTGGGGCGGGCGGGGTCCGGGCTGCGCCCCCGGCCGGGCCAGGCGGGCTAGCGGGCGGCGCGGGGGGAGCGGGGCTGGGCGGCGCTGCCTCGGGCTCTGTGCGCTGCAGCCCGGAGCCGAGGAGGAGGAGGCGGAGGAGGAGAAGGAGGCGGCGGCGGTGGGTCCCGGGCGGGGGGAGCGCGGCGCTGCGGACCCGGGCGGCTGGCAAAGGACGAGGCGGAGGCTGAGGAAGGCAGCGGGGAGACCCGGGCTGCAGCAACAAAGGGCAGCAAGCGATTGGCCGGGCTGCGGGCGAGGTTAGCCGGGGACCCGGGTGGCCGGAGGCAGCGGCGAATGGTGCACGTGCTTGCAGACACGGGCGAGTGCGGAGCCGGGGGTGCACGCCCGGCGGGGAAGGGGGCTTGGACCCCCTCCTCATGGGATGACGAGGAGGCTGCAGTGAGATCGTTCCGCCTGCACCCGGCCCGGGGCTGGTAGGGTAGGGGGTCTGTGGGGGGGGGTAGGATGCGAGCCAGGGGGCGGGCGAGTAGTCGCCCGGGACGGGACAGGGACAGGAGAGAGGGTGGAGGAGGGGGGCGGGATGGAACGCTCCGGGCGGCGCGCCCGTCCGCGCGTTCCTCGGCGGGAGCTGGCGACTGAGAACCTCGAATTTTAACTTCGCGTGCCCGCCCGCGCGCGCCCGCCTGCGCCCACCCCTAAATCCTGCGGCCGCCGCCAGCGATCAGCTCTCACACAAACTTTAGCTGCGGGCTAGGGGGCTCTGGGGCCGGGTGGGGGAGGGGAGGCGAGGCCAGGCTCCTGATTGGCGTCGCGAGCGGCCAATGAGGCCGGGCGCCTCTGCTGCGCGCGATCCAATCCAGTCCCAGAGGCGGAGGGGCGGGTCGGCGGAGGGAGAGGTGGCGCGGCGTCCGTGCGGGAGGAAAAGGGCTGGACCAATCGGTGCCCGGAAGGGGCGGGCCCCGCGGGGTGTTGATTGGTACTGGCAGGCGACCCTCCCTCGGGGTGGTGCCGGCGGGGGGACGGCGGGTCGAGAGGTGTGTCTATGTGGAGGCGAGATGACCGGCAGGAAGCTGCCCCAATGGGGGGCGGCGTGTCCAGCGAGCGCGTGAGTGACAGGCCTGCGGGCCAACGGCTGGCCCGGAGCCTTGGCGGTCTCGTCCAATGGGGCGGCGCCGGGGCGGGGCCGCGGCTCGGGTTTAATGAGACTCCATTGGGCTGTAATCAGTGTCATGTCGGATTCATGTCAACGACAACAACAGGGGGACACAAAATGGCGGCGGCTTAGCTCCTACCCCTGGCGGCGGCGGCGGCAGCGGCGGCGGGGGCGGCGGCACCTCCTCCTCCAGGCGTCAGCCGCGCTTTCGCTCCCCGGCAGCGGCAGCGCCCCCGGCAGGCGCGGTGGTGGCGGCGCGCGGCCAGGTCTGTCACCCACCCGGCGCGTCCCCAGGGGGAGGAGACTGGGCGGGCGGGGGACTGACGGGGGGCTTGCCGGGGACCCGCGACGCCCCTCCCACAGGCCTCTGCGCGAGGGTCACCGCGGGGCCGCCCGGGGTCAGGCTGCCCCTCAGCGTGACGGTCGGGGGCGGGGGAGAGAGGGGCGGGGGGACAGGCTCCGCCCCTGGCCGAGCCTCCGGGGCAGGGGGCGGGGCTCGCGAGCGGGAGGCGGGGCAGAGCCGGGGTGGGCGGGGCTGAGGAGTCGGAAGGAGGGGGCCGGGAGGGGATTTCTGTGCGGGAGTGAGCTGGCAGGATGGGTGCCAGGGTCGGACGAGGGCGTAGCGGGGCCGGAGGATGGAAGGTGGCATGGGCAGCTGGAGGTGTAGGAGCAGGTGTAGGAGGGGCAGCAGGGGGCACGAGGTTTTGGTGTGGGGAAGGGACCCAGGGTTGTGTGAGGCTGGTGAAGTGCTGCAGACGGCGAGATCGCGGTTAATTGGGAACGCACTAAGGATGAGTTTGGGTGTGGTGAATGTGGAGTCGGGAGAGCATTGGTGAGTGGGTGTTGCCCTGGGGGGGGCGGGTCTTGGCTTCTGAGGTAGATACAACTGCTGTGATCAGAAAGAAAGAATCGGGCTGAATTCCCATGTTGGGATAGGATAGAGGTTTTCTGTCTCGATGGTAAATTAAAACGGAGGATGGGATAGTTAAGTTTGGAGACTTTCTAAGAGGTGATGTCAAGGTAGAAGAAAAGACTTTAATGGGGAGGCTGTGGGAAGAGGCTGCTTTTAGTTTGCCAAAATATATTGGTAGTAGATCAACTTATCAGTCAGGTGATTCAGAGGACTAGGGGAGTCTGCCGCTGTAAAGAAATCGGGCAGGACTGAGCAGAAGGTCTGGGTGGGTGTAATTTGATGGACTGTATACTCAGTCTTCATTGAGCCAAGAAAATGTTTGGAAACTCATTTGATAGGCTGGGTTGCCTTGAGTAAACGTGAGCCAAGTCTGGAAGGGGCGGCAGGAACAGGGAGAGCACAGAGTGTCCTGCGAAGAGACCCGGAAGCTTGCTACTTTGGGCGAGAACGTTTGGTGGTTTTGGACTTGGTAGCACTTTGATTTGGGCAGGGTTTAGGGAGCGATGGGAACCGGCAGGGTGAATGCAGAAGTAATGACCTTCTATGCACCGTGGAGGGGTTTTAACACCTGCAGTTTCCAGAGACAGAGTGTTGATATGTGAGAAGAGTAGAGTTATAATGAGGCAGTGATAAGAATTACAAATGTCAGAAAAAGGAAAAGAGCGTGTGAACCACGTAAACACTTTGGGGTGGAGGTACCAGGAAATTCAAGGTAAAGAGAGGTTACAAGTAGAAGTGTATGGCCAAGAGGTAGAAATAGTAAATGGAGCTTACTTGTTCTGGCATAATGTTGGTTCTTTGTATTCCAATAAAGAGTACACGCACGTACACGCACCCGCATGTACATACGTACGTATGCACACACAGTTTGCATGTGGTGTGTACAAGTGTGCACTGTTCCCCACTACCCCTTCCTGTAGCCCTTGCCGTGATATAGGGTCTCCTACTGAATTGGAAGCTGGCCATTTTTGCTAGGCTGGCTGATCTGCCATTGAGCATCTGGAGGCTCCTGGTCTCCACCCTCCATTGCAGGGATTGCAGGCAATCTAAACCGTGCTCAGTGTTTTACATTGGTGCTGGGGATTTGAACTCTGGTCCGAATGGTTTCAGAGCTATGCACTCTGAGCCATCTCCACTCCAGTAAATTATAGTTTTAGGAAGTACATCTTTCCTTTCACACTAATAGACCATAAGTTTTGTGGTGTAACTCTGAAATAAAACATTTGATTGCTTCCTTATTATAAATTGATTACACATGTATCACAGTCAATTTGAGGTGTTTAGTTTTTAAGAAGGAGTGGGTCAGGTACCTGTAACCTCAAGTTCAATTTTGGCTTTTGAGGTAAGTCTGGGTAGGTAACTCTGTGTTTAAATATGCGAATCAATAAATAAGGAAGGAAGTTTTAACTTGAGGGAAGGATTTAGATGACATGGTCAGCTGCACTTTAGCCTTTTGGCTGCATCTGGGCCTCTGGGTGGATGCTCCATGATTATGTTTTGTCTTATGGGCTAATGGACTACCTGTGAACTCAGGCGGGAGCTGTCAGTGGTAAGACTTGTGGATGAAAAGTAAATAGGGTGTGGAGGAAGTTTGACAAGTTATTATTTGGTTTTTGAGACAGGGCTTTTCTGTGTAACAGTTCTGATTGCCCAGGAACTGGCTCTGTAGATCAGGCTGGCCTCAAATTTACAGAGATCCTCCTGCCTCTACCTCCTGAGTGCTGGGATTAAAGGCATGCACCACCACTGCCTAGGTTGAAAAGTTATTTTAATGTGCTTCAGAAACTTTACTTTTTTTTTTTTTTTTTTTTACGAGACAGGGTTTCTCTGTATTGTTTTGGAGGCTATCGGTCCAGCCCGGCATTGAACTCACAGAGATCCGCCTGCCTCTGCCTCCCGAGTGCTGGAAACTTTACTTTTTTGTGTGTCTAGGAGTGTGTGTGTATATGTGGATGTGTGTGTGCTCACACACTCTTGTATTGCTGCAACTTTTGGGGAGGTTGATTTTCTTCACCTCCTGAGTCCCAGGGCATTCAAACCCGGGTCATCAGCTATGCAAACAAGTACCTTTACCTGCTGAGCCTTTCCTCCACCCATGGACGTTTCATTTCCCTCACTGAGGCTCTGACTTGTAGTTTTTAAAGGTAGTTCTGTGAGTAATAACCCTTGGCTTTCCGCATGCACAGGTACAGCGGCATTTGTGTCTAGAGAAGGCAATTGGTTAGGGAAAGTAGGAACGCTTGGTCATAGTGATTTGGATTGTAGAATAGTAAAAGCATGCATAGAAATAGGGCAGAGGAACATAATTTTCATATCCTCTATTCCATTGTTGCTGAATGTTGTAGCTGTTTCTAGCTTGGGGCAATAGTGAACAGAGTTGCTTAGAGCATCCCTACACATGGCACATACGTATATAAGTTTAAGTTTACTCCTAAGAGTGGAGTAGTGCTCTATAGGCAGGGAATATATATAAACATATGAACATTCTGTTGTTCTCTGTCCTTTCTGACACCCAGTCTTGTTAGCTTTTATTTTATTTTGGTTTTCGAGACAGGGTTTCTCTGTATAGCTTTAGCTGTCCTGGGACTCACTTTGTAGATCAGGTTGGCTTCAAACTCACCGAGATGTGCCTGTGTCTGCCTCCTGAGTGCTGGGATTAAAGGTGTGCACCACCACTGCCCAATTTAGCTTAAAATTTTTTTTTTTCCGAGACAGGGTTTCTCTGTGGCTTTGGAGGTTGTCGTGGAACTCACTCTGTAGACCAGGCTGGTCTTGAACTCACAGAGATCCTCCTGCCTCTGCCTCCCGAGTGCTGGGATTAAAGGCGTGCGCCACCAACGCCGGGCATGCTTTTTAAAAATTTATTGAGTCTAAATTTTGAGTAGTAAGCAGATTGATCAGCCTTTCATGTATTAGTGTTTGGCTTTCCTCACTTGTAAAGTTCCCATTCCATCCCCTCTTTTCTTTTGGAACTAAGTCTTTTATTACGGCTTAGAAGTTCTTTTTTTAATGTTGTTCTTTAATAGTTTGTTTGCATTTGTTTTTTGTGTGCATATGGGTGTGTGTGCATGCCTGAGGGTCATGCACTGATGCATGTGTGGAGGTCAAAGGACAACTTTTGGTAGTCAGTTCTTTCCTTCCGCAATATAGGGATGGAACTCAAGTCAAGCCTTTACCCTTCACCACTGTGTTGACCTGGCAGTTCTTTATTTACGGTGAACACAAGTCCTGTGTGCAAGTCACAGATACCTTTTCTATCGTGTGGCTTTCCTTTTCACTATGTTGTATCTCAGTGAACCGAAGCTCCTAATTTTAGTGGAGTCAGCTTTATTGGTCTTTATGGGTAGTGCCTTTTATATCTTGTGTTAAGGACTGTTCTGTGGAGTGTTATGTCCTGAAAGCTCTACGGGCTTTGTAAGATGTGTAACTGAGTAAAACACTCTTGCTGACCCCAGCCTTGCCACCCACCGCAGGTCTTCACTTGCTCTTCTTCACATTCTCTGTCCTCTGTCTTGAATTTTTACTTGTTTGCGGCCACAGCTAAGGGCCAGCGCTGCCTTCTCTAGTCTTTTAGGAGAAGTGGTCATATAGACAGAAGTGCAGCCAGATTAGATTTTACAGGCCTCCAGCTGACTGTATTACCCTTTCCCCTTTTACGAGCTAGCGTTTTATTGTGCTCCTGGTATGGGTTTGCCACCGGCCTTGCTTCTTTCATATCTGTTATCTCAGTGATTCCTCTTAACAGTTCTGTAAAACAGGCTTGTACTCTCATTTTTACACATGAGAGCCCCAGACATAAATTGATTTACTAAAATCCCACAGTTTAGGTAACTAGCAAAGTAGAAACTGAATTGCAAACTCTCTAACACTTTTTTAAAAACTTTTGTTTTTGGGTTTTTGGGACAGGGTTTCTCTGTGTAGTCCTTGTTGTCCTGGAACTCACTCTGTAGACCAGACTGGCAGTCTGCCTGCCTATGTTCCCGCCTGTCTGTGCTCGGAGTGGATCTAAAGGTGTGTGCCACCATATCCCACTTCTAATACACTTCTTATTAAGTCACACTAACCTGTTGAATAAGATTTCTGAAGCCTATTTGTAAAAACTTTATAACCACAGAGAAGTCCTTCCTCTTCTTGTTCTGGATTTATTTGATTTGGGTGTTGGTGAGCATCTGGTCTCTGTGTTGTACACCCTCAGTCTCAAGCAACTTAGATAATTGTACCATCGTGCCTGATTCCCAACTTCCATGCTCTTAGTGTAAGGTCCTAGTTAAGACACACAGAGCTGTAAATTGTGAACTTGGATAAAGTGCCTCTTTTTTGTTTTGTTTTGTTTTGTTTTTCGAGACAGGGTTTCTCTGTGGCTTTGGAGGCTGTCCTAGAGCTAGCTCTTGTAGACCAGCCTGGTCTCACACTCCCAGAGATCCACCTGCCTCTGCCTCCCGAGTGCTGGGATTAAAGGTGTGCACCTTGCCTGGATAAAGTGCATCTTTATATATCCGAGTAACCAGTAGTCTTTATATGTGATTCAGACAGGCATAGTGATCCCAGCTTCAGACGCTGAGGCAGGAGGATCCACAGATGTTCCAGGAGGGTATATACCACCATGCCTGGCACGTATTCACTTTCTTTCTTTTTTTTATGTATTCACTTTCAAAAGTAGATTTATAGTTCTCTTGACATTTGTTTCTTGTTTTATTTATTTAATATTTTGAGACATGATCTCACAGTATACCCTCTACTGGCCTGGGATTCAGAGAGATGTCTGCCTCTGCTGCCTAAGTTCTGGATGTATGTGTATTACCATGGCCAGGTATTTATTTTACTTATAAAAATTTATTTCTGCCAGGCAGTGGTGGCACACACATTTAATCCCAGTATGTAGGAGGCAGAGGCAGGCAGATCTCAGTGAGTTTAAGTCAGCCTGGTCTACAAATCGAGTTGCAGAACAGCTAGGGCTACATAGAGAAATCCTGTCTTGGAAAAACAAACAAATTTATTTCTCTGTCTGTCTGTCTGTTTGTCTGTCTGTCTGTCTCTCTCTCTCTCTCTGTGTGTGTGAGTGTGTGTGTGTGTGAGAGAATCTGTTCTAAACATGCTTGTGGGAATCTGTTCTCCCCCCATATGGATCAAATTTTGGTGACAAGCACCCTTACCTATTGAGTTGTTTTGCAGATCTAATATTTTTGAGTTTAAAAGGGACTCATTTGTTATCTAGGTATGGGGTGTCTGTCCTGAAGGAACTAGCTCAGTGTCCTGGAAGTGACCTGCCTTTTCAGAACAACCCTTTTCTTTTATTGTGTGTTTGCATGTGTGGGTGCATATGTGTTTATAATTGGGGAGACCTGGAGTTGACAGTAGGTGTGGTGTTCTCAGATATCACCCTCTATATTATATATTGGGACTTGGTCTCTTATCTGAATGCAGAGAGCTCATTGATTTGGCTAGTCTCCCTGCCGGCTGGACTACCACTTCTACCTATCTTATTTATTTATTTATTTTTCTGGTTTTTTCGAGACAGGGTTTCTCTGTGGTCTACCTATCTTTTATGTAGGTTCTGGGGCGTGGGACAAGTGATATACCTGATCTCCTCAGCCTTAAGAACTCCCTTTAAAATCCAGATTAGTTCCTTTTTTAGATGTAGGATCTCATGTATCCCAGGGTGGCCTTGATGATCCTCCTGTCTTCCACCTCCCCAGAGCTGGGATTACAGCCTTGTGTAACACCCAGAAAATTATTTCTTAATACTTTGTTCCCTGTCATTAAAAACTGAATAAAGCTGACTTGCAATTAGAGAGAAACTTTGGATTGAATAGAAAAATGTAAATGCTAGAAACACTCTAAATGTAGTTGATTATTTTTTAAGTGGGATGCTTAGTTATCATAATTACTAATCAGTGCTGGCTTCAAAGGCCTGCTCGACTTGTGATGACTTTTCATCTTGCCTCACTCAAATCCTCCCTTTTACAAGGGATCAGATTTCCTGTGATGTTCCTAACAGTGTGATTAAATTTTAGAGACTGAAACTATTGAACCCTTAAATGCAGGAATGACTGTGCAAACCTAATTCATGGCTTAAACCAGGAGATTTGGGACCTGTCCCTTCTAATTTATGATGATGATGTTGAAACTAATCTTTGCTAGGGATTATGGAAGCTGTAATAGTTTATTGATGGTTCAGTTATTGTTTGTTGAAGCAGATTTACACAATTATAGTTTAATGACATAACAAGGGTATTGTCAACTAGGAGAGCATGACATGAAAACTTAAACTTACAATTCATATAATATGTATTAGTGAAATGATAATTTTCATGGTGATTTAGCTTCTTAGAAATCCTTGTAAAACATTATTAGCTTATGAATTGGAAACTCTATGTTAATTAGTAGTGGGGAAGAAGTTAGTATTCCTCTAGAAGATTGGGAATTAGAACTCAGCTGACTAGCATGCATTGAATGTCTGCTTTGGACTTGCAGTTGCCTTAGACTCTTAAATTTCATCTAAACTAGACGGATATTTGGAGGGATGAAACCATTGCTTGTTTGGTTTCTTTGTCACTCCTCCATTTTACTGGTTGGATGTTGCCAAAATGATTCAGGTGTTTAAAATATTTGTGTATGTGTGTTGTTCCTACTTATGATATGTACTTTGTGGTGTCATGTGTTCCTGCATTACCTATTTGATAGGTCACATTCAGATGTCACTGTCATACTTAGGCACAGCTAAGTTTCTCTTTCTCCTCTTCTGTGTCTCTCTCTGTCTCTGTCTCTCCCTCTACACACACACACACACACACACACACACACACACACACACACTTTTGTTTTTGCTGTGTGGTTCAACTGGATTCAACTTCTTGACTACCTACATAAGGATCCCAGTTCCTTATGTGGTCCAAGCTGGCCTGGAACTTGAGATACTCTTGTCTCAGCCTCCCAAATTCTGGGATCATAGGTGTCAGCCACCACACCATGAATTCAGGGTCAGCCTGGGCTTCATAGGGAGTACCTGTCTCAAAAAAAAACAAAAACAAAAAACAAACAAAAAAACCAAACAAACCTCAAACATGCATTACGTCCCTCTTTTGATCCAGTTGTAT